GCACTACGGAATGTGAGCATTCCTGTTTCGGCAGGGTACCGCGTAAACGTGGAAACGAGGAATGTGGGACCGCGTAAAGCGAGGGTTGACTGTACAAGTTTTTCAACTCATATTTTCAGGTAGATATACATAACTTTCTTTTAAATATTTATCATAAAAGGTTGAAGTCAAAGATGAAATTCACTTTCGAATGAAGTCTTTTTATATTTCTTTTGTTTTGTATCAAACATAAAGCAAACAGAGACAATTGATACCAACAATGTTACACAATTGGTAATGAACTACAGTTTGTATGGCTGTATATGCAGTATCCCAAATCATTTATGTAACTGATAAAACTATATAAATGCGCTCTTATATACGCATTTAGCTGCTCAAAGTACAGCTGGAGCAGCCAGTGGGCTGTGTTCTGCATGTAAGAAGTTATCGGGCGTGGACTGTGTGTTTGACACCCCTGGAATAAGGCTTATATGTTAAAAACAAGTGAATTGTGCATTCTGTCCAAAAGTGCTATTTCGACTACCCTGTGCTGTATTTTTAGACTAAATTCAAATTTCTAATGAAAAAAAAATCCAGTATCCTCTCTCTGATAGAAAATACCTAGTCCCAGTAGTAATTTCCGTGAGATGAGAGAGAGAGGGAGAGAGACTCTAGTGTCAAGTGGTTTATTAGGATGAACCTGGTATTGATTGGTGGTGCTGGATAGTGTGAAGTGACAGGTAAACTACAGTACAGGTATATGAAAATCCTGGGGCAGTATTGTGGAAGGGAGCTTCCATAGTGACGAAACGTCAGGAATAAAGCTGCTCCTCTCTCTTGTGTTTCCTTCATTACCACACTACCATCTGTCCACTATGAACAGTGTCTGGGTTTTTTCCAGGCACCCTTGCAACATATGGAGGCCAGCTGGCAAGGGTGATAATTTGTTTTTTATGTACCCTTTATAGAAGAGGGGTGACAGGAATTAGAGACAATGTGAGACTGATGATAAATATGAAGAATTTATATGGAATTATTTATTTGAAATATGTTTTGTCGTTGAGAAATGTGAAGTTGTACAAACAATACGTACAGGTTGACAACCCTTTATCCAAAATTCCGAAAACCGAAAAGCTTTGAAAACCGAAAGTTTTTTTTTTTTGTGGGTCAATTTTTTTTTTTTTTTTTTAAATAAGGGATTAGCCCACCCGGGCACAGCTCACTGACCCACATCGGGGCCTGGGGGGGCGAAAATGTAATAGTAATAATAACTATAATAATAATAATAATAATAATACAGTAATAATTATAATAATAATTATTCATAGTAAATAAAAATTTTAATAAAAAATACACAAAAATAAAATAATAATAATAATAATAATAATAATAATAATAATAAAGATACAAAAATGAAAAAAGATCAAAAGTGAGAAACACCACCTATGAATTATTATTATTATTATTATTATTATTATTATTATTATTTTCATTTTCTTTTTCTTTTTTATTTTCATTTTCATTTTCATGTTCTTGTTCATTTTCTTTTTCTTTTTCATTTTCATTTTCATTTTCTTTTTCTACAGTATTACCCCGCTTAACGCGCTTTCACTTAACGCGTTTTCGCATATACGCGGTGCCTTGCCAAAGCTGAACTTTCACTTAACGCGGATTTTTCCACAGCAATGCGGTGAGTGTCCGGCTCGAGAGCTATTTTTAGATTCGCACCACCCCCCACCCGCCACCCTGCCTGACTGCCTGTTTTAGCTCATAAAATTCATACAAATTACCCAGCCAGAATATAATTTACATTGCTGGAATTCTTATAATTTGGTGATCATTTTGAATATAAACAACATATATTTTGCATTAAACATACAATTTTTAGATAAAAATTGTTCTCTAGGTAATTATGTTATCTTTTGTCCAAAATATATGACATTTATATTCAAAATATTCCTGGTCTTACAAGGAATCCAGCAATGTCAATTATATTATCCTAACTTTAGTTTGAGGTATTATTTATTAAAATTTAGTGGTTATCCCACACATCTCCTTGGGACGGTTGGTGGGGGGTGGGGGGGAGGGAGGGACCAACCGACCGACCATCTGTTACCCGGTGAAGAATTATTTTTTTTTAACTGAAGATATTTGTTTTAGCTCATAAAATTCATACAAATTACCCGGTCAGAATATAATTTACATTGCTGGAATTCTTATAATTTGGTGATCATTTTGAATATAAACAACATATATTTTGCATTAAACATACAATTTTTAGATAAAAATTGTTCTCTAGGTAATTATGTTATCTTTTGTCCAAAATATATGACATTTATATTCAAAATATTCCTGGTCTTACAAGGAATCCAGCAATGTCAATTATATTATCCTAACTTTAGTTTGAGGTATTATTTATTAAAATTTAGTGGTTATCCCACACATCTCCTTGGGACGGTTGGTGGGGGGTGGGGGGGAGGGAGGGACCGACCGACCGACCATCTGTTACCCGGTGAAGAATTATTTTTTTTTTTAACTGAAGATATTTGTTTTAGCTCATAAAATTCATACAAATTACCCGGTCAGAATATAATTTACATTGCTGGAATTCTTATAATTTGGTGATCATTTTGAATATAAACAACATATATTTTGCATTAAACATACAATTTTTAGATAAAAATTGTTCTCTGGTAATTATGTTATCTTTTGTCCAAAATATATGACATTTATATTCAAAATATTCCTGGTCTTACAAGGAATCCAGCAATGTCAATTATATTATCCTAACTTTAATCTGAGGTATTATTTAATACTAAATGTTAAAAACTCTTGAATGGAGGATTGGTGGGGGGTGGGGGGAGGGTTGGGACTGACCGCGTGGTTGGAAGAGGGGGGGAGGCAAGGTGGGGTACTTTGATTGACAGATAGTGTTGAAGAATATATTTTTTTTTTTATTAACTGTAGATATTTGTTTTAGCTCATAAAATTCATACAAATTATCCGGCCAGAATATAATTTACATTGCTGGAATTCTTATAATTTGGTGATCATTTTGAATATAAACAACATATATTTTGCATTAAACATACAATTTTTAGATAAAAATTGTTCTCTAGGTAATTATGTTATCTTTTGTGAAAAATATATGACATTTATATTCAAAATATTCCTGGTCTTACAAGGAATCCAGCAATGTCAATTATATTATCCTAACTTTAGTTTGAGGAATTATTTATTACTATACCTGGTTTTCCCCCAAAAATTTCTCAGAGGGAAGAGCCAGTGAGTGTAGTGTGAGAAGAGGGGGAGGGAGTTGAGTCCATTATTTGAATGGACATTAACTTGGCGACTGTATTTCTCTATTTCTCTTAAGTATTAATTGTGTGCATGTACCATCATAAAATTAAGATGTTATTTTTACTACAACAGTTATTTGTCGTCAAAAAGTGGAGTTTGGGGGTCGGGCTGGGTTCTATTGGAATTAATCCCATATGTTCTGTTATTCACTTAACACGGTTTTCAGGTTTTCACTTAACGCGGTTTTCACTTAACGGTTTTCACTTAACGCGGGACCCTCTGGGTTCAATTGACCGCGTTAAGTGGGGTACAACTGTATTTCTTTTTCATTTTCTTTTTCTTTTTCATTTTCTCATTTTCTCATTTTCTCTTTTTTTCTTTTTTCTTTTTCTCTTTTTCTCTTTTTCTCCTTTTCTCCTTTTCTCCTTTTCTCCTTTTATTTTTTTATTTTTTTATTTTTTTATTTTTTTATTTATTTTTAGCCCCCCAGGCCCCAAAGTGGGCCAGGGCCTGTGGTCTGATCCTTTAAAAAAAAAAAAAAAAAAAATCTGAAATCCGAAATGCATCTGGCCCCAAGGATTTCGGATAAGGGATTGTCAACCTGTATTAGCTGTTACAGTGACCCCTCGTTTAACGAACACCTCGGTTAACGTAATTTCGATTAACGAACTGCCTTCCATAAGGATCTTCAATTCGGTTAACGAAAAAAAATTCGGTTAACGAAAAAAAATTCGGTTAACGAAGTTCTTACGAACCGACTTCAACATGTTTTCGCCTGCACTGACCGGGCAACCAGCATTAGTATCAGTCCGCCAATACATTAATCGGTTCTAGGGCTTAAATTCCTTACTATTTTAGTAAATATCAAGAAGTTTATACTATTCAATAATTTTAAAATTTTAATATTCAATTTTTTTGTCATTTTAACAATTATTGAACATAACTGAAGGTAAAGTGACTAGTTTAATGCGCAGGCATCCAGCCTCTTAACACAGCAAACAGGAGTTAGTCTCTCTCTGTTTTCACTGGAGGTAACATCTTGCTTGAGACTCTCTTCAACTAAACGCTTTTTTCTGTGTTTCCAAGCAAATTATTGGTCATTTTGAAATATATTTTACATATTGACAATATATAATGCAGTGCAGTGTTGATTTAAAGAAAATAATCTTGAATTACACCAAGAGAGCTAAAATTTTATGGGTGAAATGGCGCCATGGGGTGACTTCTCCACCCCAATGCCTTCTCTTTTCCTTCTCCTCCACCCCCATTCTAAATCCCATCATCATCATCATCATCCAGGAGCCTTCTACATACACACCTCAAAGTAAGTGAACTTTTCTACCATTTTTGTTGAATTTAGGAAATTTTCGGTGAGCTGGAACCAATTACCCAAAAACCCATTGAAACAATGGTTTCGGTTAACGAACGTTTCGGTTAACGAACGACCTTCTGGAACGGATTGAGTTCGTTAACGGAGGGGTCACTGTATGTTAAATTATGAGGCATGAAGTATCAGATACAAAGTTTTGTCATCGTTCTTAAACTTCTTCATTTTCATTCGTCTTTTTGTAGAGCCAAAGCTGTTATTATTATTATAAAGTGTACCACCAATGCATAAAATGCCATTAACCTGAAACAGAAATAGGCTCCAACCTTGATTTATTAATTTTGGGTTACTTTAGCTTTTAAAATTATTAATATTTTTTTTGCATACTGTATAGGTGTTATTAAGCAAGAGTCCTTGATCAAGGCACTGAGGACCAACCAGATTCGTGCTGCAGGACTGGATGTGATGACCCCAGAACCTCTCCCACCAGACCATGAACTTACCACTTTGCCGAACTGCAGTAAGTGTTTTTGCTTTATTTTATATCATCCATATATGAGATGAATTTTATAAATAAGCCAAGTAGGACAAGAATGTCATGGGGAAGGTTGTGAGAAATAACCTTAAAGAAGAACCTGGGGAGAAGGCTGCAAGAGCATGGAGAGTTGACATTAGTTAATCACAGTTAACTAACACGAGCATGGAAAATGGTTGTGTAGTAAGTCATTGATGATGGTGATGAGTGTGGATTGTTAAAACTTATTACAGGAAACTTTCTTGTTATCTTGAAAATGATGGATACTGTAATTCTTACATATTTTCTTTAAATTTCAGCACTGATACCTCATATTGGGAGTGCTGAAACAACAGCAAGGGAAGGAATGGCTCTATTGACTGCCAGCAACATCATCGCTGGATTAGGGGATTGTCCCATGCCAGCTCGCCTCTGTTGAGGGATTCTCATAACACTATTACAGTAGTTTATATTTGAAAAGGAAATGTACTGTCCCCCAAAAAATTATTGTTAGATTTTCCGTTGCTACAATTTGGAATGCTTGACGAAATGCTCGCCATATTAACAACCAAAGACCATAGAGTAAATATAGGAAAACTTGGCTGAGATGAACTGAAACCATTGTGCACAAATAAAAAAGATGCCAGATATTCCCATAATAGTGCCATCTATTGAACCAGCAGAGAATTAAGTTTAAGGAAGGGATACTGAATAATTTTAATGCTGTATCATTTACAAGTCTCCATCAACCATATATGAGTAGCCCTATATTGTATTTTCTGGTTTCAGAATACACAGTGGTCCCTCGGTTAACGGAATTTTGGTTAACGAATTACCTTCCATAAGAATCTTCAATTTGGTTAACGAAAAAAAATTTGATTAACAAAATCCTTACGAAAATCACATTTTGTTTTGAACATCAGCTGATAAGCTGAGGAGGTACTCAGCCAATTCAATGATCTCTACTATGTTTACATTCGTTTCCAATGGAGTAAATATAAAGAAAATTGTGCTCTTTAATATTTGTGCATTTTTTTATACAGTATTAAAATTATTGGTCATTCTAAAATTTAGCCATCCAAGCTCTCTCTACATAAAGTTTTTCAACTATTATTTTTGGCTCATATATGTAACTTTATTCATTTATTGAAACTCATTTACATGCACACACTGTCCTAAGGACAAAGCTGAACTGTACATGTAATCAGAATACTGTAATGTACAAAATGATTACTAAAATTTTTGTCTAGTGCAAACTATGGCATGTTTACATTCAAATTAATCACTATCTTATAAGAATTCCAGCAATGTAAATTATATTCTCCCCGGTCACTTCTATGAAATGGTATAAGCAAAAAACAAATACTCAATCAAAAGGACATAAATAAACAAATTAATACTTCATCAGACCTTGGCGCTAACTGTCAAACATGTCACTGTCACCCCTCCCTCCCAACCCCCCACAGCCCCCCCCCCCGTCCTCCCAGCGAAGGCTTCTGGTTATACAATAGGCTTTAAGTTTCATGGTGATTATCAATGGCATTTACTATTGGTTTAAGAAATGTATCAATCATGTGACCTTTCACCATTGACAGTAATGGTTACACCTTCGTCATTTAAAAAAAAGTAAGGTATAATCACCCTACAAATCATCAATTAAAAAAATTATAAATATCCCAGAATCCTTCAAACTAACTGAAATTCCTACACTAATTTTGGCAAACCATGTATATATATGAGTGTGTATGTGCGTGTGCATGCGTGCGCATCACTAAGGGAAAGTTATACATTAATTGTAAGTATTCTTTTCATAAAATAATATACTGTATACAACACACCCACTTTTCGTTTTACGCTGGGGTTACGTTCTTGAAAATCACCGCTTAATTAAAAATTGAGTAAATTAAACATAATTTTCCCATAAGAATACCTGTAAATGGTACAGGTTGGGGGAACCATCATATACCGTACGGGGTACGAACAGTGCTCTCACTTAAACCAAGCACGCGGCCAACCTCCGACACACGCTCTCCTCTCTGAAGGCGGGTGATTACATTTAATTAAACATCCATTGCTTTTGTTTTTCGTGCCTTTTTAGCTTTAGGTGACCCAGAGGAGGCAGATGGATGTTTTCCAGACATGCTTAATGGGGAAAACAGCGTTTAACACTTAAAGGTACCTGATAAACACACAATGCAAATGAGAGCAGAAAGAAAAAGTAGTGCTGGTGTGAACTGAGAAAGCAATACGCGTGAAGCTTGCTGGACGTTGTCACAGTTTTTGTATAGAATACTTCATTATCATCATTATCTTCATCATTAGTAGTAATAATCTTTATTATTACATTATTATAATAATTATTATATATTAATAATAATATTAAAATTTTTGATACGATGTGCTTTATAGTAATAACTTACCAGCACCTCAGCAGGCATCACACGCGACTCCACTGCCAGGCGAATATGAGCGCCAAATTTAAACTTGTCTTGAGCGTGTTATTTCAAAAATAGATGCCCATAAATTAGTTTTGGTATTAATTGACCAATCGCGTTATTCCAAAAGATGCTTAAATCAAACGCAAGTTACCTGTACCAAGAAATGTGAAGAATAAATAAAAATAATACGAAAAAAAATTTCTGTATTTCCAAGTCAGTAAATAAAAGCCAAATGAAAGTTTAACACAGTTGCCATTTGTATACACTCCCTGTTTCACCATAGTAACAAAGATCAACTGGGACACTGATTCCCCAGCAAGGTCCCCCCTACACTCTGCAACCGTCTTCCTCCCCCTCACGGACCCAGCTAAATTGTGTGCAAAGAAATGTGTAAGGATGGAGTGTGCATGTAACTAGCAAAAATAAATTACGAAAGTTATGTATATCTACCCAAAAATATAAGTTGAAACAAAACCATAACACCTCACAGCTTGGGTTAGTAGCCTGGTGGTTACAGTGATGAGTTTAACCTGGCTACAATGCTGTGATTAATCAGTATTAAGCACTATTATATCAGTTAACACTAATATTAACAGTAAATCCAGTGAAATATTGCAGTGATGGAGGAGAGTTACAACTGCAGACGACTCTCTAACTAGCGGTCACTCGCTCGCTCCTGTTGCCAGGTGTATGATCGAAATACTTACAGGAGAAATACATATCTTGTCCAGTACTGTAGGCTAATTTTAAAACGGTGATGGGCACATTGATAAACGAACTATATAAACCAGTATGATAACATAATAAGAAACATTGTATCATTACTAGAGTGAATGAAATAATAAGTCCCCAAAACATCAATTGATAACTCTTGGACACCTGTGTCCCGCGCGCTGACACCTCAGTCCTTTTAAATTTTGTGGACATTTCATCGTAGGAAAAATTTTGTCATATTTTTTTATTTTTTATTATTTTTATTTTGTATGGCTTAAGCAACATCCGCCTTAATGAGGCTTTACTGGAAATCAATCAATTGTTTAACTTCAAAAACATTTATTAAGAGATGCAGTACTGTAATAGATAGTCTCACAAACGAAGGCAGGTGTGGAGCCATATCTTCTACAGAATGCATAATAGGGAATTTTTTCCGCATGAATTGAATTGTGAGTAGAAAGAGGGTTGCCACATAAATGCAAATTCACAGTAAATAAAAGCTAAATGAAAGTTTAATACAGTTGCTATTTGCATACAATCCCTGCCTCACCAAAGTAACAAAGATCAGCTGGGATGCTTTTTTCTCTCATTACGTATTTACCCTTAGGACAACTATTTCTTTTACTTTTTTCACAATATGTATGTAGGATGGTGTGTGCATGTAACTGAGTAAAAATAAATGAAGAAAGTTACGTATATCTACCCAAAAATATGAGTTGAAAAACAACTGTTAACTCCTCACAGCTTGGCCCAACAGATGACTCAGACTGGATCCATTTTAGCAACGGGGGAGAAAACACAGCATACGGACTGAGAGTGAGAGACCAGATATGTATTTGCCACATCCAGACCAACCGAAATCCGGATCCGAGAGGGCCGAAAGTGTGAGGGTTTACTCATTACATAGATTTGCTGATTTGTGGCCACAGTTCCAATTGACTGTAATATACTGTATTGTATTAGGTCTGAAATCTAGATTTGGGAACAGTGCAGTGGAAAAATCATGTTTTTTTTTAAACATTGTGTATAGATCAAGCAGAAGCAAACTGCATACAGTAAGAACTCATTTTGCCTACATGCAGAATTCTTTGGCACATATTTTGTATATTGCACACCATAGGTGTTTCTTACCCAAATAATTGTGAATGGTGTTAAAGTTACAAAATATTTTGCATGCTCTATGTGGCAAAGTGTAGTTAATCATGTATTTTATCTAAATAAATAATGTTGCCATATAAATTGTCATTTTGTCCCAGACAGATAAATGCTGGATGGTATTTAATTGAATATCCCCAGATAATAGGATTGGTATTTTGCAGTCATTATTAGCACTGTACTTGCATTAATAATATATTTTTGGCCACTCATTTGTTATTGAATCTGGAAAATTAGGTCGAGGGGAAATGCATCCTTTGAAGCTTTATGTTGACTCCAATGCTTGCTGAGAAACTAAGGAACTATTTTTGCATCAAGTACTTTGATATCTTAGGGAGACTGAATTTAACTGAAATCAATGATGTACTGTACAGACTGTTTTCAGTTATTTATTATTGTTACCAAATTTTGATTGAATAAATATTCTATTACTCTTTAGGGTTTTCATATACATTTTAAGGACCTGTTAGGCATTAGCTAATAACAAGATCCATCATTAACTAATAACAAGCAGGATCCTTATTACTAAAACACCCTCTGGGTTAGCTTGTTTTTGCCAGAGGTTGACATGTTTAATAGTACCTGTATATAAGTTTTATTGCTGTGTACAGGGTATTCTTTTTAGCCTGTCAAATAAGGATACAGTGTAAGATTCAGTCATTTAATCCAGTGGTTGTGTCAGAGTGCTAGTGAGGTTTCAGATCACTGGGCCAAAGATTTTCAACCTGAGGTCTAAACTCTTCACATTCTGAACCTCTTTCAGCCATTAAAGTAAAGCCATATTGTGACCCTCGCAATTCCTGCAACGTCACTGAGGTTATAAGAAGCAGTACCTACTGCCAATGACTTAATGTGGAGCAACCAAGGAGGATAAATGTTAGTCATACATTTTGTATTCATTATATAATTACAGGTACTGTATACTTTAGTGTCTCCCATACAGTATACAGTAAAAGTCCAAAAATCTGGATGCCAGAAATCCGGACCACCCGAGAATCCGGACTTTTCGAAAACTCACAACTTTTTTTTTTTTTTTTTAGCGGGCTTTTGTGTGTATGTGCGCATGCGTGAGCGCCACAGCTGCACAGCGACAACAAGCGACCACGTGGTCGCCACTTTAAAACGAGCAATCAAACTGACAACATATGTAATTTTGAGTTCTACTCTTTCCATTTACAGAGTACTGTACAAGCCCATAATAATGGCTCCTATAGTAGATAAACTTCGTTGTGTGAAGAGAAAGAAGAACACGTTGAAATTGAGTGACAAGCTTGAAATAATTAAGAAACTAGAACGTGGTGTGAGCAATACTGTTCTAATGGAAACATACGACATTGGAAAGTCTACAATTTATGATATAAAAAAGGCTAAGAATAAAATTCTAGAATTCACAACTTTTTCTTTAAAACTGCTCGTTTTGATAAATGAACCATGCTATATTTGTGAATGAATAAACTATCAAAATGTACCTGTTCATCTCTTCTTTATTCCTCCTTAAATTTGAATTTTAAAAGTACTGCCTGGGAATCCGGAAAATCCGAAAATCCGGACCGGCCCAATCCCCAAGCAGTCCGGATTTTTGGACTTCTACTGTACTAC